GGCGGTGGCGGCACGCGCACGTTCCACTTCAGCACAAACGGCGGTCCCGGCGGCTTCAACTTCAGCAATCCCGAGTCTATATTCTCCGAATTCATGCGGTCGAGCGGTGGTGGAGGCGGTGGGGAGGACTTTGATGACATTTTCTCTGCCTTCGGCGGCGGTGCTGGTGCTAGGAGCGCCGGCAGCGGCCGCCCGCGCATGCGCACCTCGTTCGGACCCGATGCGACCCGGAGTGCGCGCCAGCCTACCCCCGAGGTCACCACTGTTGAGAGGCCACTGCCCCTTGCATTGGAGGATCTCTTCCACGGCGTGACAAAGAAGATGAAGATCAAGCGCAAGATGTTTGACGAGTCGGGCAAGCGGACAACCACAGACACTGTCCTGGAGGTCCCTATCAAACCGGGCCTGAAGAAGGGAAGCAAGATCCGCTTCAAGGGTGTCGGTGACCAGGAAGAAGGAGGTCAGCAGGACCTAGTATTCATCGTTGAAGAGGTAAGTTTGCTCGCGTCCCGCGTCTCCCATCAAACGTTATTCCAGATAACAGCCAGTTACTAACCACGTCATCAGAAACCCCATCCTTTGTATGTTCGGGAGGGCGACGACATCGTCCACACCGTCGAACTCGACCTCAAGGAGGCATTGTGCGGCTGGAATCGCACTGTCACCACCATTGACGGCAAGAATGTCTCAGTCGGAAAGTCAACACCCACACAACCCGGAAGCGAGGATAGGTTCCCAGGACTGGGAATGCCCATCTCGAAGAAACCCGGCTCGCGAGGCGACTTTGTCGTCAAGTACAAGGTCAAGTTCCCCACGACCTTGACGGCCGCACAGAAGCAGCAACTCAAGGAGATTCTATGAGCGGACCCCCCGGGCAGCGACAGAACTCATCGGCTTTAGCATATCTGGAGACGGCGTTCAATGGCGTTTAGCTGGAAATTTTACGCATGGAGGATTTTTGTTCGTTGGCCTCCAGCGTTCTGCTTTGTCAGGTGCAAGCTGCGGGTGTCACGACGTCACAGACTCTTGACCCTCGGCGGCGGGAAGCGATACGACTAGAGGCATTAGAATGGACCTACGGTGGAAGATGATAATAACGAGATCACTTATCAGTACCTAGTGTAGACAGCTTCCAACATGTGTCATTGCTACTTCGCTACCAGTTCTTCTTGCAAGGCAAAGCTTTATCTTCGTCGTATACTTAAGCTAGTGCTATAGCTAGTCCTAGAGCCAGTCTCAGCTGGTACTCAACTTTACACCTAGACTTTAACGCAAGCCTGCGAGCTTGCATCTCGGGAAGGAGGAATGGAATTGGACGCTACTAGTTGTGATCGTACAACCGAGATGCAAAGAGGCAAGAATGATGTTGATGCAGATATCTCGCAACACGTTTTCTCGTTCCTTCCTTTGAATCAAACCTCGACTCAAATCCCAGAGCCCAGCCCTATGTGGAGCATCTAGGTAGGTACCTAGGTTAACGTCCGAAACCAGAAGTCCTCCTTCCTCTCAATATGTCCTCCTTCCTCTTGATATGTGCTCCTTCCATTTAAGATATCCTCCTTCCTCTCAATATGTCCTCCTTCCTCTTGACATATCTTCCTTCCTCTTGATATGTCTTCCTTCCTTTTGATATGTCTTCCTTTTGATATGTCTTCCTTTTGATATGTCTTCCTT